GAAAATGTAAGAAGTAGAAGTAAAAAGTAGGCTGAAAAATAATTACTCAAGTRAAGYACARAYACMCAAAAATTCTACTTAAGTACAGTAAAGAAGCATTTGTACTTAGTTACTTTACAACTCTGATTACAAGGCTCGTTGTTGAAAATCTTAGTCCATCATTATACCTGGCCTGCTGATTGAAATCACAATCCTTGTCGACGCAGACGTAAAAGCTCTTGCCTTTATTTGGCCCATCTTTTACACCTGTTTTTAACATACACACAGTGCCTACAGTACAGAGAGGAGAACAGACAACAGAACAAGTTTGAACATGAATGTGCCTCGTCAAGATGTTTCAAGGAGCCAAACATAAAATTAACCCCTTGAAACACAACTCGTAAGTTTATCCTTTATAACGTTAACTAAAAATTAAAACTGACCGTGTCTATTACACAAAACCCTCTCCATCTTCTCTTCTTTCCGTGAAACGTTTGGTATTTTCGTATTGACCAATCGCAAGGCTCAGAGAGAATATCCGGTTTCTACGTGTCAGAGTAAAAGCTTAGGTTCCAATTAGAAAATAAAATTTAGCAATATTTTCAAATTTACTTGTAATATATCAAAATAAAATAACTATAACTATATAACGCAAACTATAAAATTACTTAAAATTTTTAAATCTAAGGTGTCCCGTAGAAAATTACACAACAACAACCCTTATTGTGAAATCTCCGGTTAAACCGAAAGCCTTACGGAAAGTTTTTTTTTCCAAAAGCAAAATTATTATAACCAAGTTTTGTTTTTATGTTTTCAGAACAACATAACCCACATATATATATTTTAATTATTATAAATGTAAAAAAAAAGTTAGTTTTAAAATTAAAAGTGAAACTACAATACCCATAATTCACTGCCCGTTGTTGGCTCTCGCGGGCTTTGTTTTGATATGGCGGCAGGTTTCGAAACTTCTGTTTGTTATATCTGTTTAACGATTTCCTTCACAATTATAAGGCTGGTTTCCCCTTTTGTTACAGGTAAATTCGACATGTTTCGACACGTTTAATAACTTTGTGAACTTTCTGCCTCATTTGGATAACAAACACTGATTTATTGTCTGAAGTTGACAGCAGGTTTCAAGCTAAGCCCAGTTTTATTGTTGTGAATGACGTCGTATTTAAATGTATTTAGATCACTATTTATAAGGTAAATTACATACTGTCACGCTCATTTGATGTCAGCTGTTTTTAAAGCACTATTTTAAAAGTTAAGCCAGATTTCTGTATGCAATGAAAGTATCCCCTAACCTTTAATTTTCTGTGTCTTACTTTGACCTTAGCATCAGAAAGAGCCTGTTGTTGGAAAGTGCTTCTTCATAATGAAATCAACCCTTAATCTGTCGTTCAAATCCCGGATTAGCAACCTCTGATTGRCCGACACGCCTCGGCCGACAACATCATGTCGTCTCCAGCCGGGCTGCAGTACTCCCAGGCGGATTTCCTGGCCCGGTGGATGCCGAGCAGCACCAGAGCTGGGGTGATTCTCAGCCCCTCCCCGGATCTGGCTGGATCCTTACGACCCATCCCCGCCACGGGATCCCCGCCACTGCAGCCCGACGACTCCTTCACATCCAGCTTCGCCCCTCTGCCGGCCTCYGCAGACAGCAGCTGCCTGGATGTGGATGGACCCGGACGGGTGGTCGGTACTGAKGGGCCGGAGGACGGCTCGGATCCAGATGGACAGCTAGGCATTTTGAATGACGTGACAAGCAAAACACAGGAGCTACCTCTTGAGATGAAGCTGGAACAGGTGAGGGTTGTTGTTGTTGATCAGTCGTGACAATTTTGCTGCTGTAGTTTCTCACTTTCATTAATGTGTTTCTATAATTTCACTTCTGTTTAGCGAGAGAAAAACATGAAATATCAGTGTGTATACTTGACAAATTCACTGTTCTGTCCAAACATTGTATTTATAGAACAGCTGAGTCCCTTCCTACATGTAAATGCAATTTCAATTTTGCTAGAGCATTATCAAATGTCATAAATATGTACTTTTTAAGAAGTGTCATATTATTGTGCCGTGAAAAAAATTATATGTGACCCATCATATCGAAATGAGGATTATGTCAAATTTGGTCAAAATGACCTAATTACATTTTCAGATTCTTGGTTTTAAAAGCTACATTTTGACACCTGGATTATTCTGATATCATAATTAAATCCATATATATGACTTAATTTGTCTTTTTGGTTACAATAATACATAAATATTTGGTCTGAATCCTAATTTTATGTCTTTTTAATGATGTCCTTATAAAGAGGAAACCTCATATTATATTTGAATATTGAGATTTCCCAGCTAAAAATAAACAAAACTTTGCTAGCTCACAGGGAAAATCTCAAAATCTTAAGGCTTTTTTACTCAAAATCAGTTTTTTTTTGTTGCTACTGCTCAAAAAAGTGCTTCAAAATTTTGTTTTATTATTATATTTCTGATAGTTCATTCAAATGACACAATAATAAGGCTTTTATTCATTATATTTTGACAAAATGCAATTTTTGTTAACATTTTAGTCGAAACACTATATTTGCCTGTTTCTCCTTATACCACTTTTGGACTTAATCCTCGTTTCGATGTGATGGGTCACATATGTAGTACGACAAATCTAATGGTTCTGCACAAATATTTGTGCATGCACTGAAAGACATTTGCAGAATAGCATTTTTGTCCCACCTCCCCCCCTCCTTATTTTCATAAATATCTTCTGTATGTGAAATATAAGGAGTCTTGTTTGGAAATTGAACAAAATTGCKGCATTGTATTTATTTAAAGGTTAGATTAACCTTTGTTTAGTACTTTTAAAATAAGGATTAAGTAAATCTGACATAATAATTTTGGTATTTGTCTTGAAGCCAAAGTAAAAGAAATGATATAAGTTTGGTCAAGGCTCTTCTGTATTTTCCTCACTCTAATAAAAGACCAGAGCTAAAAAAGATCAGAGCTTAAAAGCAGATGTCATGAAATTACTCTGAAAATAGCCTCAAGGTTAAAGGGTTAAAACCCTGGCACTTCCATCACATGCACTCCTCTGACTTCCTTGTCTATTTWAAGGATCTCACACTGTTTGTTGATGAAGACTTAAATAGTAACTGGTGGTAAAATAAGTGAACCCTTTTAATCCRAGTGGAATTAGAGGCAGCATGAGGTAAACAGACTGTAACCAAACAGATCTGGATGAGTTACATTGTAACAACTAAAAAGAGTTTAGCTTCCTGTGTAGTTACAGTGTCATGTTGTGTGCAGTTGAGACAATGGCAGCAGCACATGCAGGAGCAGCTAAAAGGCCATCAGCTGGAGGAGCTGCTGCAGCTGCAGGAGGAGCATCTGAGGCTGCTGGGAATCATGAATGAATCCCAGATTTGCACAAAAGGTTAAAAAAAACACACTTGAAAAATGGAGAATGTGTATTTTATTTGTTTCATGAGCAACAGAGTGGCTATAATACATGATGTTCAAAACACAGAGAGTTCAGAATCTTCGGGAACCAAGTGGGATGAAGAAGTGATCCATGCTGATACGAGCTGCAGCGAGATCACACAGAGAACCGGTGGCCTCCTACAGGAAAAACAGCTTTTAGCAGCAGGAAGGCAGGAGCTGCTGCTCAAACGCCAGGGTTGTTATGACGGTGATGAAGACGGTAAGAAACTGTGTTTCTGAGAGGAAATAATAAAAAGACACAGTTCTGACTTTGACCACACTGACTGATTTATTTACACCTGTTGATAAATTCCTACACTTTGTGTTTTTACAGAAACATGGGACTCCACAGATGTTCAGGAGGAGGGACCTGAAACTAGAAATTTTACGAGGCAACCAGAAGATGCMGTTCAAAGTGAAAACTACATGAAAAATCCAGATCAAGTTTTTATTGACAGGTAAGTAGATTGAGTAATTTACTAACTACAGTGGGGAAAATAAGTATTTAGTCAGTCACCAATTGTGCAAGTTCTCCCACTTAAAAAGATGAGAGAGGCCTGTAATTGACATCATAGGTAGACCTCAACTATGAGAGACAAAATGTGAAAAAAATTGAGAAAATCATTTTGTCTGACTTTTAAATAATTTTTTTGCAAATAATGGTGGAAAATAAGTATTTGGTCACCTACAAACAAGCAAGATTTCTGGCTGTCACAGACCTGTAACTTCTTTTTTAAGAGGCTCCTCTTTCCCCCACTCATTACCTGTATTAATGGCACCTGTTTGAAGTCGTTAACAGTAGAAAAGACACCTGCCCACAACCTCAAACAGTCACACTCCAAACTCCACTATGGTGAAGACGAAAGAGCTGTCGGAGGACACCAGAAACCGAATTGTAGACCTGCACCAGGCTGGGAAGACTGAATCTGCAATAGGCAAGCAGCTTGGTGTGAAGAAATCTACTGTGGGAGTGATAATCAGAAAATGGAAGACATACAAGACCACTACTAATCTCCCTCGATCTGGGGCTCCACGCAAGATCTCAGCCCGTGGGGTCAAAATGATCACAAGAACGGTGAGGAAAAATCCCAGAACCACAAGGGGGGATCTAGTGAATGACCTGCAGAAAGCTGGGACCAATGTTACAAAGGCTACCATCAGCAACACACTACGACGCCAGGGACTCAGATCTTGCAGTGCCAGACGTGTCCCCCTGCTTAAGCCAGTCCATATCCAGGCACGTCTGAAGTTTGCTAGAGAGCATTTGGATGTTCCAGAAGAGTATTGGGAGAATGTCATATGGTCAGATGAAACCAAAGTAGAACTATGTGGTAAAAACACAACTCGTCGTGTTTGGAGGAAAGTGAATGCGGAGTTGCATCCAAAGAACACCACACCAACTGTGAAGCATGGGGGTGGCAACATCATGCTTTGGGGCTGTTTCTCTGCAAAGGGACCAGGACRACTGGTCCGTGTACATGAAAGAATGAATGGGGCCATGTATTGTGAGATTTTGGGTGCAAACCTCCTTCCATCAGCAAGGGCAATGAAGATGAAACGTGGCTGGGTCTTTCAGCATGACAATGATCCCAAGCACACTGCCAGGGCAACAAAGGAGTGGCTTCTTAAGAAACATTTCAAAGTCCTGGAGTGGCCTAGCCAGTCTCCCGATCTCAAGCCCATCGAAAACCTTTGGAGGGAGTTGAAAGTCCGTGTTGCCCGCCGACAGCCCCAAAACATCACTGCTCTAGAGGAGATCTGCATGGAGGAATGGGCCAACATACCAGCAACAGTGTGTGCCAACCTTGTGAAGACTTACAGAAAAAGTTTGACCTCTGTCATTGCCAACAAAGGATTACAACAAAGTATTGAGATGAACTTTTGTTATTGACCAAATACTTATTTTCCACCATTATTTGCAAAAAAATTCTTTAGAAGTCAGACAAAATGACTTTCTCAAATTTTTTTTCACRTTTWGTCTCTCATAGTTGAGGTCTACCTATGATGTCAATTACAGGCCTCTCTCATCTTTTTAAGTGGGAGAACTTGCACAATTGGTGACTGACTAAATACTTATTTTCCCCACTGTATTAAAGCATTCATCGTTGCGGTTCTCCAGTTTACTAATTGAGTTTGTGTCTTCTGTCAACACTCATCCTCCTTGATCTGAGCTCTGTCTTTGACACCATCTCTCATCCTATCCTCATCGACCAACTAACCTCTATCAACATCTCAGACACCCCCTGGACTGGTTTAAATCCTATCTTTCAAACCACACTCGGTTCATACAGCTCAAGTCCTTCCGCTCCCAGTCTTCACCCATTTCCACTGGTGTTCCCCAAGGTTCTGTACTCGGGCCTCTACTTTTCATAATCTATCTGCTCCCGCTTGGCCACATCTTCCATAAATTTGGTGTTCATTTCCACTCTTATGCCGACGACACTCAGCTCTACATTTCATCAAAACTGAACTCCACCTTACCATTCTCAACTCTTACCGACTGCCTCAGTGAGCTCAAYAACTGGTTCTCTAACAATTTCCTCCAACTAAACCATAACAAAACTGAACTCCTTCTTGTTCGGACAAAAAACTCCATTTCCAAATCCCAGCATCTTCTCTTCACTCTTAACCACTTTGTTCTTTCCCCCTCGCCTCAGGTCAAGAACCTCGGTGTCATTCTTGACACCACACTCTCTTTCACATCCCACATTAACAACGAGACTCGATCTGCATACTTTCATCTTCGCAACATTAACCGTCTCCGTCCTTCACTCACTCCCTGCTCCACTGCCATCCTTGTACACAGCCTATCCAGGATMGACTACTGCAACTCCCTACTGTTTGGCCTCCCCAACAAATCCCTTCACAAACTACAGATGGTTCAGAACTCAGCAGCCCGTGTAATCACTCAAACCTCATCCACATCACTCCAGTCCTACAACAGCTCCACTGGCTCCCAGTTAAATCCCACATCATCTTTAAAATTCTCCTACTCACCTTCAAAGCTATCCACAATCTTTCCCCTCCTTACCTGTCTGACCTCCTGAACATCTCCACACCCTCCCGCTCTCTAAGATCTGCCTCCTCCCTCCAGCTCTCAGTACCCCCTGCCCGCCTCAGCACCATGGGGAGCAGAGCTTTCAGCCGCTCTGCTCCGCAGCTCTGGAACTCACGTCCCCATGGATTACACAAYACAACCTCTCTCTCCCTGTTTAAGACTGGCCTGAAGACACATCTTTTCAAATTAGCCTATCACTRTTAACTCCGATTTTCAATATATGTCTGTTTTTGTTGTCCACGCTTCAATGTTTCTCCCCCACAACCCTGTTGTTCAGTTTGTCTGCATTATTGTATTTTATTATATGACTGTTCTGTACCCACACTACCCTTATCATTAAATGTATCTACAGGTTTTTTTTTTCCATTTTACTTTTTTCTATTGTGCAGTGTCCTTGGGTGTCCTGCAAGGCGCTTTATAAATAAAATGCATTATTATTATTATTATTATTATTATCTTCAGGCCGATAAGGCCGGGAGTCGGGGGTCCGAAGCAGACGTTTGAGGAACTGTTGGAGGAGCAGCTCAGACTGGAGGAACAGAGGCTGAAGTGTGTCCAACAGCAACACGTAAGAAGACATCAGATGTTTACTGCTGGGGTGGCAAAACTGTTGTTTCACGTTTAATTTGGTTTTAGGAAGACCAGTGATGATGTTATTCTGATTTTAACAGAAGGCAAACGGAACTGAAGCCCCTCTCAAGAGGCCCTTTCTGAAGCGAGGCGAGGGCCTTTCCAGATTTACCAGCAAAGCTTCTTCTCTAAAGGTGGAGGTGAAGAAAGACGAAAAACTACAAGCCCAAGGCAGAGTCATTTCCCGCAGCAACTCTGCGCCTGTTTTCATGGGGCGAGGCTGTTCCAGCAGTGTCCCGCAGCTTCCCGTCCAACGGAAAACTGCCGTTCTCCCCACAGAAAACCCACAGAGGGGACTCCGTGTGCCTCCACRCAACATCAAAGCACAGAGCAAGGCGGCACGGACAAAAGTTTCAGGTAGTCGTCAGAGACAAAAAACAGCCCTAGAGTTGATCCAAACAGAACCAGAGGCCGGACAAAACCAGCCTCTAACGGAGCAGAATAAGAAAGTGGGCGTGTCGGTTCAGACTCTGAAAAACTGTGGTTCTAACTTGCAGCAGGACCCTGAAACCAAACAGGTGGACCTTTTAGGTAGGCTGGAGAAAGCTGTTCCAAAACAGGAAGTAACCAGGTCAGAGGGGGGACGTGAACCTCCTCTGGATTCCATGGCGTTATCGTTCCAGGAGAAGCTCCGGCGCTGGGAGCGTGACCGGCAGGTGGAGAGCATGGAGCTGGGAGAGTTTGAGCTGCTGGAGCAAGCTGCYGAGGAGCTGTCCTTCTCCTCTACCTCCTCCTTCGTCATGAAGGTGCTTTCTTCACATCTTTACTTTATTTCAAAATTCTTCTTTTCTGTCACTTCTTCCTTATTTTCTCTTCTGATAGTCTTTTTATTTTAACAACAGATCTAAAAGTAAATCTCAGAATTTAATCCCACCTGCCAGAGTTGATCGTCGCAGATTTTAAAGTAACTTATCTGAGCCACCGTTTGTTTTTCTAAAGGACCATTTTAACAGTTGTCTTTCGTCTTGTTGTCTTCCTGCAACAAACTAAAGATTTTAGAGTGACTTCTTTAAACAGGGTTCTCACAAATTCTTAAAAACATGGTTCCCGCGAGGTCTTAAAAAGTCTAAAAAGGTCTAAAATTTTTAAATCTAAATTTTAGGTCTAAAAAAATGCCCCGATTTTCATCTAAGGTCTTAAATTTAGATTAGTCAAGTCTTATTTTGTTTATGTTCAACCATTCCCATGACACGTTAGCTGCATAAATGCAGAAGTTGATGCGATCGGTCTTCATGAGGCGCTGCTGGGTTTGGTACTGGTGTTGATATGTGCCTAAATTACAAATCCCGCCATAACTGCAGGCAGGAAATGGCTCAGTTTATGGCCAAAACAACCTCTGAAGAGTTGTGTATTTAGACTGTATGTGCCCTGGGAGTGGGATAGCCTTTCTTTGTCTTAATTTTGTAATTCAGTTTCTTACAACAATGACACCAAAATAGATTTTAAATTGATATTAGTCAAACCAATATTTAGACATTTCTGTGTTAAAAAGTTCTGGAGCCATTTGAATGTTTCTGTCAATCATCGGGTTGGTCTTAAATTTCATTCYTAATGGTCTTAAAATGTCTTTAAAAGGTCTTAAATTTAACTTACTGAAACCTGCAGGAACCCTGTAAAAAATCTTAAAAGGCATCAATCCAAAAATAAGGCCTTAATTAGCTTTAAAATGTCTTAAATCAATCTTTTAGAGAAGTGGTTCCCAAACTTCTCAGCTTTAGACCCACAAAATACCAGCAGCAGAGACCTGTGGTCCCAGTTTTTGTTGGTTGATAAACACAGTTTTCACATCAAATAAACAAGGACATAGTAACAATGGGCCTCATGCAAGAACATGCTCGTATTCTTCTCCTAAATTTCTCTTACTTTTGTTCGTACAAAGGGTTCGTACGAACATGTCACGTCAGATTCAAC